TTCAAGGTATTTCAAGGTATTTTGATATATTTCGACCAATTTTTTAAAAGAATAATTTTTAAATTTTTTATTTTTTTTCATTCTATTTTTGAAATGAGTCGAAACGTTTCCGAAATAAGACGAAACATTTTTGTTTCCTGGTGACCAAAACGATGCACTGAAACGAAATTTTGATCCTTGCTTGCAAGTCCTGTTTCAACAAGTAGATCCAGTACATACTTGCGCTGAGACAAACTAATACCACTCTTGGATCTAGCTACCTCAATTTCAAGAAAGTACCTCAATTTACCCACATCTTTAATATAAAACTTTTGCTACAAGAATGCTTTTACAGCAATAATACCTTAACTGTCACTCCTTGTGATAACAATATCATCCACATATACAACTAAAATGATCATGTCAGACTCAGAATTTTTACTAAACACCAAGTGATCTGCTTGGCATTGTAGAAGTTCAAAGTCTAGCACTACTTCACTAAATATTTTTGCTTCTTTTATTAATCGTGGAATTCTTTTTGGATGATACTTACACTATAAACTCCATACAAGAATGCGTTTTTAGCAATAATACCTTCACTGTCACTCCCTCTGATAACAATATTATCCACATATCATGCCAGACTCAGAATTCTTACTAAACACCAAGTGATTTGCTTGGCATCGTAGAAGTCCAAAGTCTAGCACTGCTTCACTAAATATTTTTGCTCCTTTTATAAATTGTGGAATTCTTTTTGGATGATACTTGCACTATAAACTCCATACAAGACTAATTGTGGTATGCAATGTAATAGCTTTGAAACATCCATTGGGCATCAAGAAGGAAAAACTTAGTTGATAGTTAGGGTGATTAGTGTTAGTCCTAGTCAACCTGCATCATTTGATGGGGATTCGAAGTGGCAAGGGGTGGATCCACCAAAGTTACCCATTGAAAGGAGGACCTCCCTTCTTCCAGTGTTAGTAGAATGCTACCTGTGTGTTCATTACCATCTAAAATGTCTGCAATTTTTTTAGGAGCATTTTTGTGGTTCTTTATTCTTTGTTTAAACAAAGATCGATGCATTGAGTGTCAACCATACTTCTGGATCTGGTTGTCATTGGTCACAGCAAAGCAAACTAAGATTTCACCTGCCCATCTACCTTACTAGATTGTAGGCAGTGTTTTAAACTTGTCGGGAAAAACAAATTTAAAAAATAAGATTCTTTTTGGCCTTTCTTGATCTCTCCTAGATGTAAGGACTTGGAATTTTCTTCTATTTTGTCCTTTCAATGTCGTGGCAATGTGAACACAAGGATTAGTGCTTATGATTTTTTGTTCATAGGCTTGAATCAGGACTAGGCTTGTCGCTCCAAGAATAGCACTAAGAAAGTTGAGCAGGCCCACCACCAGCCGGGGTCCATCGCAAGAAGACTTTCTGTTGTGCAGTTTCTATCTGACAAATATTTCATCATCGCCTTTGTATAAATTGAAATTTACCATCTAGTGAAGTTGTTGAGCTTGGATACACAACGTGTATTGCTTGTGATGTAGTCCTTTCAATGTTGTAACAGGTTGTGATATCCTGAGAACTAATAGTAACGGTCTTTTGCGACGAGAAGTTCCTGATTTCCACTCCTCTCTTGTTCTTGGAGTTTTTTTTTGAACATGTTTCTTTAAAAGGGTGCAAGGAATTTCCGGTGGGTCACTCAAGCACACTTAATTGCGGAGTTTTAATACGATCCGGTACATTTGTAATGGTATGATCGCCTAACGGTGGAGTTCTTGGAGTTGGGTTTCCAGTTTCCACTGCTTTGTTACTTGGGCTCTGAAATCGATTCACCTCATGGATTGTTCGAGTTGCAAGTGTTGGGGATGTTGCAGCTTTGCTATTTCAAGTTGATGATGTAATTCCTCAGGGATGTATGCCTTGTTCAGGAGATATATTTCTAGCATGTAAATGTAGTATGCGGGAGACTTTCACTTGCAGAGGATTGATCAAGCATCAGTTAAGAGCATTAGGGGTGCAACTTGGGTTGGGTAACCGGATTTTAACCCAAAAAAATTAGGGTTTGGGTAAGGATTTTTAATATTTGGGTTGGGCTTGAGTTAAAAAATCTCAACCCGAATTTAATTTGGGTTGGACTTGGGTTAAGGCCTCGTGAACCCGAGTTCAACCCGAACCTGACAAATTTAAAAAAAAATTATATATGTAAAGCATTAGCATTGATTTTTTATTTTTGTTTTTCTCGTTCTCTTTGTCTCTCTCGTTCTCTCAGTTTTTAATACTTGGGTTGAGCTTGATTGTCCAACCTGTCCAAGTTACACCCGTAAAGAGCCTGATGAACCCATGTGTTTATGTAGAGTGGAACCTTTACATGTTTCTGGCTGGGTTTATTGTGTATTTTGAATGTGTTGCCAAGCTATGAACCCATGTGTTTATGTAGAGTGGAACCTTTACATGTTTCTGGCTGGGTTTATTGTGTATTTTGAATGTGTTGCCAAGCTATGAACCCATGTGTTTATGTAGAGTGGAACCTTTACATGTTTCTGGCTGGGTTTATTGTGTATTTTGAATGTGTTGCCAAGCTATTAGTACTGAAAAGTAATATTTTAGTATCTTAACTGGACCCTGGTGTAGATGTTGATCTTCTCCCACATGTTAGCTATACGGTTTTAAAATTTTTCCTTCCTCGCTAAATCTTAATTTCCAACTTCCCACATCCCTGAAAATAGGATAATATTTATTTTACTTACAAGATAAGATAACCTTACAGAGGGATCTAAATTCCTTCATGTGTACTTTTGAAGTTTCTCTCGGTATGAAATTATTAATCGCGTATTAGTAGAAGACCTATTGAATCACATTTGAATACATGAGAGGGATATGCTATTGGAGAAAATTGAGAGTGTACTCAAAAGAGTTCCAAGTCCTCCTTCATAAACCGAGGGAAAAAATTCTCAACTTTAGACAAACAACCAGTTCATTAGTTAGCAGATTTAGTGAAGGAAAGAAAATAGAAACGGAAAATGTCAAGGAAAAACGAATTCTCTCGTATTTTCTGTCCTTGACAAATTTGATTACACAAAAATGAGAAGAAAAATTAAAAATACACAGTAGATTAGAAAAAATTTCTCCCAAATTAAAATTTTATATCATTTTGTGATATGATAATCACTACCGAGTGGTTGGTTTAGTAGATAAGAATTTAAATTTTTTAACTCAATTCTTGAGATCTAATCTTCAAAGTTATGGTGATTCGGTGGGGTTAAATTTACTCTTTAATGCCAAGAACACATGGTTGGATCTTAATTTCTATCTTGACATAATTATGATGAAATTTCTTACAAATAACAATGTAGTGATAAGTGATTATGGTTTTATCGAATATATAGAATGACTTATTTGAATATCTATCTAATTTATTTAAAAAATATGGGGGTATCAATTTGTGTCGTGTTGTGTGACTCACATGTTAATATATTTGTGTCAAGACTCATGAAAAAAGTATCTATTTATTGTATTTTAATTGTCAAATATTAATTAAATTATTTATTATACATATTTATTGATCATATTAATTTTAAAATCGTATTGAATTTATGTTGAATTCGCGTTAGCGGGTCACAGTTGGCGCACCTAAAAAATATATAGGGTAAATTACATCAAGGTCGCCTAAAATTTGTCACTAACTTACACAGACCCCCTCATGTATGAAAAATAACATTATCACCCCTTGAACTATAGGTACGCATAACACAAACATCCCTTGTCGTTAGCTCCGTTCAACTTGCCATCAAAATTAAATGACATCAACATATTATTTTAAATAAAATTCTCTAAAATTCAAGAGAAAGCCCAATAATTATCCATGCCCTCAAAACACACCCGACCCATCATCAACCCCTAAATGCATCTAGCACAAAATCAACCCCCATTATTCCCCGCCCCCCGTCCAATCCTTCCACCTTAACCCCGTGTACCCATTGTTGCAAAAAACCACCAAGAAGTGTTTTGGGGAGAGGAAGGGGGAGAGAGAAAGAGAGAGAGATGCACAATAGCCTTACTCCACCCTAATCCACCACCACCGAAATACCATCCACCCATATTTGCCACCATCTAGAACACCCCAACCCCAAAATCTACTACTAAAAACACCAAAGTCATCACTGAACCCATATAGACAATTAACCAAGCCATAACAATCCAAATTCACTTCATACATTCTAGCCCTTTTGTCACCATTGATTACACACCCACAAAATCTACCACTATGAAGTAGACCCCCACCCCCAAATTCTCTACCACAAAACACCAAAACTACCACTGTACCATGTCTATGCGACAGTTACAATTGCCTCCATTGAAATCACACCCTCAAAATCGATGCTATCAAGACCACCTCCACCCTTAAGAACCTCAACAACGATCGGATCCCACCCAAGTAATCATAGCAGCCACCGCATCACCAAGTTGAGAGAGACAAAGGGGAGAGGAAGAGTCCTTGTTCATTGTTTTGAAGAGGGTGTTGCAGTAGGGTAAAGTGTGATGGAGGAGCAATCAGTGCCTTCGATGGTGATGGTTGTGTAGAAACTGGGATGAAGATGGGACAGAGGGAAAAAATGGGATATTTTATGGGTTTTGTATTTGGGTCGGGTTAGTCAGTTTTGAATTTGAGTTTTTGTTTTATTTGAATTTTACCAAGGATAAAATAGACATTTAGCAACTTCTGTTAGGTTCGTTGGCTAACTGTTATTGACAGGGGGTCTCAATGTAATTTGTCAAATGTGAAGGGGTTCATCTATTTAAGTGACAAATTTTAGAGGGTCTAGATGTAATTTACTCAAATTGATACAGTACTAAGAAAGAGAAAATGAAAGGAGAAAAAAAAAAAAAAAAGAAACCAGCGAAAGGGCAAAAAAGGATGTCTATTTTTATGACGTGGCAATCGTTTATTGGTTTACGGGACGTGGACTTGTAACGAAGCAACCAAATGTAACACAAACACTCCCAATACCTTGTCCAAAGGTTAAGTTAAAAGTCTTGGAAAAGGAAACCCCAGTTTCTGGTCTCACCTTAAACTGCCCAAAACTTCATTCTTCGATCAGTACATCAAATTAACCTCAAATTCCTCAAAACCAACGGTGTGATCTGACTCTCTACTTTCCCATTTTCCCCAACAATTGATCTGTTCATTCTGAAATTCGATTATTATTCTGTTTTCTTTTTTTTGCTTTCAGTAATTGTTTGTGTTGAAACGGTAGAGATGGGAATTGGGTCATTCGGATGCGTGACTGTTTCTCTGTTGGTGGTTTTATCGATTTTTCGAGGAGCTGTGGGGATTAGATTTGTGATTGATAGAGAAGAGTGCTTATCTCACAACGTTCAGTACGACGGAGACACAGTTCATGTTTCTTTCGTGGTGATTAAGGCTGATGGGTCGTGGCATTACGGCGATGAGGGTGTTGATCTTGTGGTATGTAATTTTCAGTTTATTCACTGCATTTTTGTTCTTCGTTGTTTTGGGTTTTGAATCATCATATGTTACCAATTTTTGTAATTATCTCTAGAAAAGACCGATCTTTATGGGTTTTGGGTTTTGGGTTTTCCATTAGTTTTCCCATCTGAAGGTTGCCTTGTGTAAAATGGTGAACAGTTCAGAAAAAACCTTCAGCAGCAGACCCAAGAGAGAGAGAGAGATTTTCAGCTAAAATTAGGAGTTTTAAGATGGGCAAGCCGTGAGTAAGAATTTCAAGCAAGGACAGAGTGAGAGCAGATTGTATATCAGGGTGTCCAGGTCAATTTACACGTATCTCAACTAATTCTCTTTCCGGTCTAGTCCTTTCCAAGTAGTTGTCAAGATTCGAAGGGTTTACCATTCATCCATATTATTACTTGACTTACCCGTCCCTTAGGGTTAGCAAATTGTATTTCTGAAAAGTTTCTGAAAAGTAAGGAGTTGCATTAATTAAGAGAAGATTGGGGGAGGTAGTGTAAGATCGTTTTACCATGCGTAACGTAGGCCATTTTTCTGCTGAATCACTGTTATAGAGATGAGATGTGATTTGAGTTGAAGTCATCAAATGTATAAAAGAAAGTCCCAGAATGCGTGAGTTGAGGCCATGAGAAAGACTCAATAAGAAAATTAAAAGGCCAAGAGAGAGAAATGGTTGTCTTGTATCTAGTACAAGATATGGCTCTGAACTGAGCTGACTGAAGAAAAAGCATTCATGCTACTAATGCAAATAGTTGGGTTTAAATTTGTTTAGGTTATTTAAATATGGTTGGATTCTTATCAATTATCATTGTCCTTTCTCTTTGTTAATTGGACCGATTGAAGCAAATGTTTTAATTAATTGCTGAGCAGTCTTCATTTTTTTCTAGAAGAATCTGAGAGTTGTTATTTTATTTTATTCAGCTGATGCTATGTTTTAGCTTGGTATTGTTTAACATCTTGAGACCTTCTTTGTTTCTGAATTATGTGTTTCTCATGGAAATTTTGGTGAACCCTGTTTGTCTTACACTTTGAAAATGGTCCTCCTCCCTCCTTCCTTTTTTCTGGTCCATAAATTCTTGGGCTAGGTAAAAATGATGGCACTGTGGAAGCAAAAACATTGAAAGGAAGGTTTATTCTATCGCCTTGATGAATGAGTTTCATCTCAGAGAGTTTGATGTTGTGTTCTCCTTGTCCAAGGTTAGGAATTGGCATCTAACGATGAAGATTACTTATGAATCAGTAAGGTCTACCGGTCCCTAGGTGAGGATGGGGTGGCCTGGTGTGCAAGGATGAGTTTCAAATTCGTAGGACTGAAACTTCTTGTTGAACATGTTAGTACACACTTTGTGGTCATTGATGTTTGAGTTTGGAGATAGACACCTGATATGTGTGCCAAGCATTGAGCAACCAACACTAGCATCTACTTTATGTTTCATTTTATTTGATGATTATAATGTAACAGAAACTTGAAGTTTAGACGGCATACCTACTGCCATCAGACCTAATGACCCATGGCTAATCTGTTGTTACCCAATGTCCATAAAAATATGTTCGGCTTTGATTCCATTTTGTTTCTCGTTTTGTGCTTCTTCTTCCCTTTCTCTCAAGTCTACATTGATCCCATATTTGTGTTGAATTATCAGATAAAAGGACCTTCTGGGGAGCAGATTCATGATTTTCGTGACAAGACTAGTGAGAAATATGAATTTATGGCTCAAAGAAAAGGCGTATATCGATTCTGCTTTACGAACAAGTCTCCTTACCATGAAACATTAGATTTTGATGTACATGTTGGACATTACATATACTATGATCAGCATGCAAAGGATGGTAAGAGGCCACCTAGCTGTTCTTATATGTTTCCTCATCTTCCTCATGGACCCTTAATTTTTTAGGATGACTGAGACTTTTGCTTAAACATCTGCAGAGCATTTCAACCCCTTGCTGGAAGAGATCTCAAAGTTGGAAGAAGCTCTTTACAACATCCAGTTTGAACAGCATTGGCTTGAAGCTCAGACTGACCGCCAGGCATTAGGTACCATTTGAAAACTGTCCCTTTTTTTGGCTGGAATGACTTTTCCTGCGAGGTCTAGAGCAATGTGATGAATGGGTCAATTACCTCGTATTTTATTTCTGGAGTAGTTGGAGCAGTTCTGCCTTGCTAAGATATTCCTTTAATTGGCAGTTACTATGGACCAATATTTCATTTCTATGCACAATTTTGGTCTGCTCAGAAATGTTTCAAAAACAAAAATATTTGGAAAACAGAGAAAAAGCTTTGGAGATTTGATTCTGAAGTATAGGAATATCGACATTCAGTCACTAATACGTTTTGATTTTCACAAATTTTGGGTCATAAATTTTGATTCTTAGTTCTAAGAAGGTTAAAAGCTACCAATTACTAGGGACAGTGAACCCGCCACAACTATGCAGATGACAATTGGTGTGGGCCCTTTTCAAGGGTACTCTTGTATACGTTTGTAGTCACTAAATGTAGTTTGTGAGAGCCCTATGAAAGATCAAACTTGTATTTTCTTGCCTTTTGTGGACTTCCACTAACCAATTTTCAGAAAAAAAGATAGGATTTGTGCAAAGTTCATTAACCTGGGGCTCTACACTTGATTCCATTGGAGTGCAGTGAATGAAGGAATGAGTCGGCGAGCAGTCCACAAGGCAATGTTTGAATCAGCAGCACTCATCGGGGCTAGTGTCCTCCAGGTCTACCTCCTGCAGCGTCTGTTTGAGCGCAAGCTCGGGACATCCAGAGTCTAGATTTTCCTCTGCCAGCCATAACTATTGGTTGTAACATCTACAAGCTGAAATCTTCCCTCTGGCATAGGTTTTACTCATATGATGGTTGTGCAGCACACTTTTTCCCAGCCAGTTGCCCAGCATGGAAACATGTATACATCACATGCTTTTAGAGAGTTTTTCACAAATGTGCCTGAGCTAGCTGTTTCTTGTATGTTCTTAAACTAGCATATTTACCTTTTCTTTCTCTGTCTCTTGATTTTTAAAGTAAAAAAAAGATCTATCGGGTGATTTTGTGGGTGCATTTTTGTGGGCGTTCTGCACCCGTGTTCTGAATCAGTAAGAAGAACCTTGGTTGTTTATGGATTACTCATCTTTATTCTTGTTTTATCTATTTACTTATCGTTTTATGGACGTATTTATTTCTACTATGTGTCACCCGATTCTGCAGTCAAAATAAATTTGAGGTAAATGATCAAGTCTCCAGTGAGGCTAACCAAACCAAATGGATTGCACTGGCCTCATAGAATATGCAAGCAAGAACTTCATTGTGACTCGCCAAATATACCCTAGCAGAGGCTGCTGTGCAATGGCATGAATTCTGAGTACTTTTGACCGACATTTAGGCATAACACCTTGGTGTGCAACTGCAATTAGGCTCGTCAATCGTGTCGGGGAGAGGGATTCATGTTGAGTTTTAGTAGGTTCGTGATAAAAAATATTATTTATATTCGATTTTTTTATTAATTTATGTCTAATAAATCATGTCATATTAAATTTATATCGTGTATAAATTATATATAATTGATATATAAATAAATTATGTCATGTATTTTTTCTTATTAATGTTACCCATATCCAATTCGTTTATTAATCGTTTTATTCCGAACTATTCGCTTACTAAACGGATGGTTTAAGAAATGCTCAAATCCTCTAATTTTATGTCTTTCTAATGAGTTGTATCATAAATTGACACCCTATCTCCAATAATGTTTCTCATTGTGACAAGAACGTTATGAGTTTAAGACACGAACAATAATAATTCAGCATCTGTAAGGTTTAACTGCATATATACCTTCTTCCCTAGACAAATGTAATGGGAGACTCGTGTCCTAGTTTGTTCATACCACCAAGGCACACGAGTAAACAATAAAATGAGCTAGCTATGCACACGGCTAATACTATGAAATTGATTTCATCAATTCAAAACCCACAATGTTGTTACAAACACAAGTGCATTATAATAAGAAGTCATGATAAATAATAAGCAGCAAACCATTGACAACCGTAACGATACAAGAAATTTGAAGGCATTATCAAATTGTCGGTTAAGCCAAAAATTGTCATTCAAATTCAGATCACAGTAAAACAGATTCTTGCATGACCCATCACAGCTTTGACTACAGCTCCAGTCTTCTAGAATAAATATGTCGGGGCACGGCATGGATGAAATATATTTACTGTTGCAACCTCGCAATAGGGAGGATCAAGATTCCGCTGAAGCAGATTGCATGCAGCAAAACCATTTTTTCTGCAAAATCATTGTGTATCAACAACATTATCAAATACATCAACCCCATGAATATCACTAGACAAAATGCTATTTCATTAACTTGTTAAGAATAAAAAGGTAGTATATGTAAATTGTTAATAGTAAGAGGGTGTATGTGTAATTCTTATTATTGTAGCCTAACTATAAATACAAGTGATGTATGAGAGCTAAGTTAAGTTTTTAACCTATCTCTGTTTCTCTCTAAAACTGTGTTAATCTTCTAAACTTAAAATGGTATCAGAACAATTAAGATCATAAACATATATGTATGTTCTGAATAAATTTTGGGTTGTACTGTTCGTTGAACCCATTGTTGTTCGTTGAACTCATCGTGGTGGTGGGGATACTGTTGCTATCATGGTGGTGCTGTGCTTCGTGGTTGTGTTGTGAAGGGTTGAGGTGATCGTTGTAGTCGACGTTGGTACAGTCGACTGTGGTGGCGCCTTGCCTCGTGGTGAAGGTTGAGGTGGTCGTTGTAGTCGACGTTGGTATAGTCGACTGTGGTGGGGCCTTGTTCGTGGTGGTTCTGTACCTAGTGTGAGTTGTGGTTGAGCAGTCAGCACTGGTATAGCCGACCTTGGTGCAGAGTGCAGAAATTAGGGTTTTTCGTTGAACCCTTAACTTAGTGACAAAGAAGAAGACTAAGTGGGTTCGGGTTTTTGGGTAACGGGTTTCGGGTGCAGTACTTATTCTTAAGCCCAGATCAGCAGGAAATCCAGACCCAGATCCTAGTCAGGTTCAGACCAAGCCGGTCCAAGTCCAGCTCAGACCCGGTTCAACCTTGGTTTGATCCAGACTCAGTCGGTTCAGGTAATTTTACTCCGGTTCTTCAATTTTTAGCTCCGGTTTAGTGGTCCAGCTCAGCTGTTACTCCGGTTCTTTGGCTTAGTGTGGTTCTACAGTCTGGTTCAGCGGTCCAGAAGACTTCTGCAGTCCGGTTCACCTGTCTTTTGCACCGGTTCAATCCGGTTCCTCTATTTTTACACCGGTTCATCCCGGTCCAGTAAGTTTCTACACCAGTTCAGCCCGGTTCTTCAATCCAGCAGTCCCTTTTCCTCTGATTTAGCATACCCGCAGTCTGGTTCATTTCTTGTTTGCAATTTGGTGCGCACTATTATGGAACCCAAGCAAGATACAAGGTCCTTTACTCCATCTTTGTCCTCTCTGACTCTTATTAATGGTCACATGACCTCTGTCAAACTCAATGGGATTAATTACATTTTATGGTCTCGATCTGTTCAAGTCTTTCTTCGAGGCAAAAGTTTTAAGAAATATTTGGTGAATCCTAAACCTAAGGAAGACACTCTTGGGTATGATCAGTAGGAACAAGAAGATGCTCAAATTATTTCTTTACTATTGAATAACATTGAGCCTAGTATTAGTTCTACTTTACTCTACCTTGACACTGCCAAGGAGATCTGGGATAACTTGGCTATTATGTATTCTGGTATGGGCAATTTTACTCGCGCNTCAAGGAGATCTGGGATAACTTGGCTACTATGTATTCTGGTATGGGCAATTTTACCCGTGCTTATGAGGTGTGCAAGGAGTATTTCTGGTTGGAACAGAGTAATCCGAGTATTAAGGATTATTACTCTCACGTTCGGGGAGTCTGCGAGGAGATGAAGACCTACCACCCCGTTTACTACCGATGCAACAGTTTGGCAGAAGCAACATGAGGATATGAATGTTGTTAGATTTTTGATAGGTTTGAAACCTGAATATGAGAGTATTCGTTCTCAGATTTTGGGTGGTTCTACTCTTCCCTCACTACTTGAGGTTTTCTCTCGTATACAACATGCTACTTTGTCTACTTCAGGTATCAATCATGGTGTTTCCACTCATCGCTCAGCTTTTGTGGTTCCTAGTACCCATAGTGATAGTTATCGAGGTGGTCGTGGTGGTTGAGGAGGTTGTACGGGAGGTCGTACAAGTGGTCGTGGGGGCCGTAGTGGACCACGTTCCTGTACTCATTGTGGTCGTGGAGGGCACACTGTTGATTTCTGTTGGAATTTCCATGGAAAACCTTCTGGTACTACGAATCAAGTTTCTTATTAGGATGACACCTTTGTTGCGGCTTCCATACCTCGGTCAACTCCACCAGAAATTGGGTCAGTTACTATTACACTGGGTCGAGAGGAGTATGCCCAGTTTCTATCCCAACAGGTTGTTCCATCTCCCTCCACTGCTACTTTTGCCCAGTCAGGTACTGCTTCCACTTGTTTATTGTCCTCCACTCGCAGTCCTTGAATCATAGACTCTGGCGCCTCTAACCACATAACTGGTGCGTCTGCTATTTTTTCTACTTATCAGCCTACTACTTCCACACGTAATATTACTCTTGCTAATGGTACTTGTTCTAAAGTTTCAGGTCTAGGGACTACTCATGAGTCCTGATATGTCCCTATCTTTCGTGCTATTTGTCCCTCAGTTCCTTTTAGTTTACTTTCTATTAGCAAGATTACTCGTTCTCTCAATTGTTCTGTGACATTTTATTCATCTTATTATGTCTTTCAGGATCTCAAGATGAAGAGGAAGATTGGCACGGAACATGAAGCTAGTGGCCTATATTACCTTGACTTTGATTCACCTACCAAGGCTCTATAGACCTCGTTGTCTCATTTTCAATGGCATTGTCGTCTTGGATATCCCTCTCTCCAGAATTTGAAGCGCCAAGTTTTCAGTCTCAGTTATGTGTCGTCTTTGTCCTGTGAAGCTTGTCAACTTAATAAGCATCACCGTGTGTCATTTCAGTCTAGAGTCAATAATCGTGTGTCTAGTCTATTTGAATTAGTCCATTCTGATGTATGGGGTCCAATAAAGAATATTTCATTTAATAAATATCCTTATTTTGTGACATTTGTGGATGACTATTCTCATGTGACTTGGTTATTTTTTATGAAAGCTCAGTCTGAATTATTCTCTATATTTGAGACTTTTCGTAAAGAAATAAAACTCAGTTTGGTTGTCATATACGTACTTTACGTTTTGATAATGTTCGAGAATATGAATCTGATCCTTTTTTAGCTTATCTTAGTCAAATTGGTATTATTCATCAGACTTTTTGTGCTTACACCTCTCCACAAAATAGTGTTGCTGAAGCAAGAACCGTCATTTGTTGGAAGTCACCCGTACCCTATTATTCCAGATGAATATTCCTCGATGTTTTTGGAGCGATGTTGTTGTTACTGTTTGTCATCTTATTAATCGTATGTCATCCTCTGTGTTAAATGGGCAAAGTCCATATTCTGTCCTTTTTCCTGATAAGTCCTTATTTTTCCCGACTCCTAAAGTCTTTGGATGTATCTGTTATGTTCACAATTTGAGTCATGGGTTTGACAAACTTGACCCTCGAGCTACCAAATGTGTATTTCTTGGTTACTCCCGCACGCAAAAAGGGTATCGTTGCTACAGTCCTTTTTTGCACTGATACTTTACTAGTGCTGATGTCACGTTTGAAGAATCTGTTACATACTTTCTAGCACTTTCTCAGCCTTTGGATCTGAATTTTGGATCATCTCCTATACCACCATCTCTTTTCTTGTCTTCAAACATTCCATTGCCCACTGTGTTACCATCTGCTTTACCTCTTCGTGTCTACTCTCGCCGTCCTCGCCCATCGACTGAGGTGCCCGTACCGTCTTCCTTGCCACCTTCTGATCTTGGTACATCAGGTAATTTAGACTCTTTCGTGTGTTACTAATCATCCCATTTCTTATTTTGTTTCATATGATGCCTTATCTCCTAACTTCTCCTATTTTACTTCCCAATTATTTGTTATATCTGTTTCTAAGCATTTACATGATGCATTATCTAATCCGGGTTGGAGGAAAGCTATGGAGGAGGAGATGGATGTTTTACATCATAATGGGACTTGAGATCTCGTTCCTTTNTTATATCTGTTTCTAAGCATTTACATGATGCATTATCTAATCCGGGTTGGAGGAAAGCTATGGAGGAGGAGATGGATGTTTTACATCATAATGGGNAGGAGATGGATGCTTTACATCATAATGGGACTTGGGATCTCGTTCCTTTACCCCTAGTAAACGAACTGTTGACTGTCGTTGGGTGTATACTCTTAAATTTCATCCAGATGGTTTTGTGGAGCGTCTCAAAGCCCGACTTATTGCAAAGGGCTTTATTCAGACTTATGATATTGNCTGTCGTTGGGTGTATACTGTTAAATTTCATCCAGATAGTTTTGTGGAGCGTCTCAAAGCCCGACTTGTTGCAAAGGGCTTTATTCAGACTTATGATATTGATTATGAGGAGACTTTTTCTCCTGTTGCTAAAATTTCCTCTGTTCGTATCTTGATCTCTTTGGCTGTTAATCTTGATTGACCCTTGTTTCAGTTAGACATCAAGAATGCCTTCCTACATGGTGACTTGGTTGAAGAGGTATACATGGAGCAGCTACCTAAAGAAATCTTTGTATGGTTTGAAGCAGTCACCTAGGGCATGGTTTGGTAAGTTTTCAGATGCAGTTTTAGAGTTTGGTCTTCTTCGATGTTAGACAGATCATTCTGTGTTTCATAGACAGAGAGATGCTGGATATGTCTTATTGGTGGTCTATATAGATGATATTGTGATTATTGGGATTGATTCTGAGGGGATTGCTAAGTTAAAAATATTCTTACAGGATTGATTTCATACTAAAGATTTGGGAAAACTCAGGTATTTCTTGGGTATTAAGGTGACTCGATCTAAACAGGATATTTGTTTATCCCAAAGGAAATATGTACGTGACATGCTTAAGAAAGCAGGTTTGCTGGGTGGTAGACCGATTGATGTTCCTATGGATCCGAATCAGAAATTATTGATAGATGAGGATGCATTGATTGAGAATCCGGGTCGGTATCGCAGATTGGTTGGAAAGCTTAATTATCTTATTATTACTCGACCGGATATTTTCTATGCAGTCAGTATAGTAAGCCAGTTCATGGGGTGTCCTAGAGTACCACATTGGGAGGTAGTTACTCGTATTTTGCGATATCTCAAACGAGCTCCTGGACTTGAATTGTTATATCGAGCTAATGGACATCTTAGAGTGGAAGGTTTTTCAGATGCTGATTGGGCTGACTCTTTTTCTAATCAGAGATCAACCACTGGTTAGTGTACTTTCTTAGGAAGTAATGTTGTCTCATGAAAAAGTAAGAAACAACCCGTGATAGCAAGATCCAGTGGTGAGGCTGAGTATAGGGCAATGACACATACGACGAGTGAGTTAACTTGACTACTACACTTTCTCCAGGAAATTGGGTTTCCAGTTTAACTTCCTTTACAGTTGTTCTGTGACAATCAAACAGCTATCCATATCGCTGCCAATCTTGTGTTTCACAAGAGAACCAAACATATTGAGGTTGATTGTCACTTTATTCAGGACAAGATAGTAGCTGAGAAGATTACGACTCTATTTGTGAAATCTGAAGCATTGAATCGTACACGTCTTACAGCTTTTTGTTTCAAGCTTGGATAATATAATATTATATAGTCCAGCTTGAGGGGGAGTGTTAAGAGTATTAGGGTAGTATGTGTAAATTGTTAATAGTGTTAGGGTATTATGTGTAATTTTTATTATTGTGAGTTAACTATAAATACAAGTGATATATGAGAGTTAGGTTATGTGTTTAACCTATCTCTGTTGCTCTCTAATATTGTGTTAATCCTCTAAACTTAACACCTTATTATATAAAGACCTCTTATATAGTAGTTTTTCTTTAAGGTTGTTCTGGCTAGTTATGCCTAAATAATATTCTCTTTCTTCTAGTTTCTTTCTTTTTTATTTGGTTAAAGTTTACAGCAGCAACAGTAGTCGGACTCTAAGAAGTCAGAGCAGACATAAGTATATTCAATCGGGAAATGATGACATTTATATCACTTTGCCAAGGAGGAGCAGTAGCAGGAGTAGCGGTAGTAGGTCGTGGTACCTCGGCAATAGCAGCAGTATAGTTGAGAGGAGACAGCTTAAGCTCTGGATGGAGCTTCCAACAAGCAGTCCTGAGATGTTCTAGTCGGCCATAATAATCACACTGACGAGAATCTCCCTGTCTATGCTGATCTGGGCCACCCTGACGACATTGGTTCGAGCGCTGCCCACCCCTGACTGAGGATCCTGAACGAGACCTTGCAGTAGCTGCAAGGGACATATGATCAGCCAGAGGAGTCAAGGCCGCAACTGGAAGTGATGCAATACGGATGCGACGCTCATGCTGCTCAATCATCGCATACACCTCATAAAGAGAAGGAAGTGTCAATATCGACAAGATCTGGGAACGAGGTCCCTCAAACTCATCACAAAGCCCCATAAAGAACTTGTGAATCCTATCCTATTGCTCTCTCTCGAGTATGCAAGAATGCTGCTCCCTTGGGCTCTATTCTCGGAATAACAGCAAGAGGACGTAGAGTCTCATACTTAAATCAGCGCTGGGTCAAATAGCCATATTAATTCTGAATGATCATATCTCCTTGCCGAGCATATGAGAGTTCCTGACAAAGCTCATAAAAATAAACTCCCCGTCCTAACTGGGAATACATCTCTGATAATGCACTTCATAGTTTCGGAATAGAGCTCAAGTCGAACAATAATGACAGAGAAAGAAGGTCTAAAAAACTCCCAAATAATCAGGTCATGGTGCCCAGAAATTCAAGAAATATAAATGTGATCTACTACATCCAAAACAGATCAATGAGGAACCGCTCCCTCCTAAAAAAAGTCCTAGATACTGCAACCTGACAGCACTGTGACGAAGAGTGCGAATAACGAAACTACAACAAGAAGTGTGACCCGGTAGTTGGCGTGAGAGTGGGCTAGGCATTGACCCAGCAGTAGNAATGACGTCAGTCCTAAGTAAGCATAATATCATGAGATTACTCATGATGTTAGATGTATTTTGGATTCAAACCCGTTCTGATACCATGTTAATATTTATCAAAGAAAGAGGAAAGAAGAGAGAGAGACAAAAAGATTTTTATTAAGATAAACTAAGTCTCTTTTACAAAACCTTAAAAATGGAAAACTACACAATAATAGTCTTATATACTAGGGCAAAACATAGTAACATAAATGACTAATCTAGCCGTACTGCTAATGTACTAGATTACTCTAACAAGAATAACCAAGTAATGGAAAGTTTCCTTTTCTGAATTTATTTAGTACTTCTGTAGATAATTCATATTGAATTGTGATAATGTTCTTCCTTACTTATTTTCTTTGTTTCCATTCTTTCTATTTTTACTCTTCTGTTGATAAATTGCAATTATTTTGTTTGTTTCTGGCTGCAACTGTGCTGAATTGTGTTTAATTTAGGTTCTTGGCTGATCTTTACAGCAGGCCATAACTGCTCTTAAGAAAGGGGCATATTTGGTCAAGTATGGAAGAAGAGGAAAGCCTAAGTTTTGCCCCTTTCGGCTAACAAATGTAAGTTAGATCCAATGCTCCTAAATATTGTGTTTCTATACTTGTGCTTCCCTCCACCCCACCCCACCCCAACCAACCCAAACAGAAGAAAAGAATTACCGCTAGTTGCGGTTTTATGTTTTCCAGATTTTTCTTGGGTCTACAAGCTTACTGTCTTAGCAAATATTCCATCCATGCAAACTATTCAGTGTTGAATCTACTCTCCGAGGTCCACCACTTTATTTTTTTGTTCTGTTGCCTAAATGCCAACGAAATTGATGATTCACTTCTTTAACATGCTGCAACGAAAAAATATTGTTTCATTACGATTGTTTTTGACACGATTCTTGCTTTGGGCGCTATTGCATTCTTGACATATGCTCTTTTCATTTTCATTCTATGCAATATCATATACAAGATCACATATGCACTCTATATGCTTGTTAACATGCCTTTTCCATAGCTTCCTTCTATGACATTTGTAACTATTTTTTCGGTTGAATGCATAACTATCTGCCCACCATATCAGTTTATGTACGCTTAGTATGAAGTCCTTGATTTCATGTGACTGGATGGATACTAGTGAAGAGTTCAATACTAAAATTACAAGAATTGAATCTGGAACTTGTTTCAGGATGAGTCTGTTCTAATATGGTTCTCAGGGAAAGAGGAGAAACACCTTAAACTAAGTCATGTGTCCAGAATTGTCTCTGGGCAGCGCACTGTAAGTTCCTTGCTCTGAATTTAACATCTGACTGTTACTACTCTGCCATGAATTCTCCAAAGATAGAAGAATGTAATAGTGAGTCTGCAGAAGTTGATAAAATGATGGAAAACCATTACGTGAACTCTATATTATATTGTCAATGTTTTTGTCGCTTCTTTGGTTCTAGTGAATTGTTATCATGATTCATGATATTTCTTTACCGTAAACCAGCCAGCCCCAACATAATGTTCTGTTTGATTTCGTAAAAATATAAAATTATAATAGATCATCACTAATGTCCAACAGGGTCCAGCATATTGTACAGATTTTTTAATCAATTTTATTCTAAATCATCATCCATGGAAGTAGTTCTATAATTTCTCTGTCTCCATTTGATATGCCTTTTGGACTCTTGGCAAAATTTTGATAGCCACTAGGATTTGCTCCATGCAAAATTTGCTTCCACGCTGCACCATAGCTTATGTGCCTGATGAGTCAAGTTTCAAAGTATGGGCCAATATCGATACGAGTTGGCTGAGTTGTATTTGACTCAGAAGGTACTCAACACCTTACAAGTCAAAACTGTTTAATGTTACGAATAAACTTAGAGCCTTGTACAACTTGTCCGAGTCGTCCGCTGGTCTCCAGAGTCAACTCTGAATTGCCGAGTTATTGTCACCGATTCGGCCGATACTATTATGCGACTTTGCGATATGACCTGAATTTCTCATCATGTTCACCTACTTCTTTTTGGTTTTATCGCTCTATGTTATTCTGCGACGCTGCAGTGATTTGTCTTAGTATCCTCTGAGTCGATGACCGATACTACAACCTTGAATCATGCGATGAGTTGAAATATGTAGCAGAATTCTATATATTAGAATAGTACATAATACCATAGTAACCATGATTCATAATTTTGATTACCAATTTAAAGCTATGATCCTTGAGTTTAAATGGGGACCAAAAGGGAAAGGGTACCTTGATCAAAAAGGTTGGCCACAGTGGAAATGCAATAACTTTTTTTCTTGCATAAGGAATTTTATTTTACCTATAAATTGCTGGATTGAAATGCTTATCGTTGCACTAAAATTTGCAACTGTTAGTGAAGGTGCAATTTCTTTATTTTAACTAGCTCAATAACAAGCGCCCACGACTCTGGTTGGTTAAACCCTCCACCCAGTCTCAAGGAGACTCGGCACCCAGGCCAACATATATAAGGTCTATTGAGTATGATATTAGTCTTTTTGCTTTTGATTACTTTAAATAGGCGATGTTCAAAAGATTAAGGTGGTATTTGGTTTGTGTTTTGAAAACAGTTTTTTATTCTCAAAACACAATTTTTTGAGATGCTGTTAGGAATAACAATTTTCAAAAACAAATTTTCAAAAAAAAGTGGGAATTGAGAACAAAAATTAGAGAACATCATTTAGATGTTTTCTGAGTTTTCAAGCCAAAAATTGAAAACAAGGGAAACAATCCCACTCTTTAATGAGGTCTCTCCTTTGAATCCCCTTAGCAGCAAAATTAGCCATAGTATATAGGCTGTTTTTTTTTTTTGCCTTGCTCTCTCTCCACTCGGCGAAACCAAACATCTTCTACTTCACTCCGGCGACTCGAGAGCTCCGACGACTGAGAGACCAGACGTCTTCTACGTCACCGGTGTAGCTCCGGCAAATTACAGGCGCAACTCTGGAGACCCGTAGCCTTCTATCTCTCTCACGCAACCCATCTCCTCTCTCTCTCTCGGCAACAAATTTATGTGTATATATATGTATCTATGTGTGTGTGTGTGTGTATTGTGCAATGTATGTGTGTGTGTGATGGCTGTGTGTGTGTGTGTTTGTTGTACGTGTGGGTGTGGTATGGGTGTGTGTGTGGGTGTGTTTGTTTGTGCTGTGTGAGAAGATAACGGAGAGAGAGATGCTGTGAGGAGATAATGGAGAGAGTGAGAAGATAATGGAGAGAGGGAGCTGTTGTGTGAGAAGATAAGTTAAAACTTAGTTTTGTGGATCCTGTCCAAACATGTTTCCCTATGTACTTTAAAACTATTTTCAAAATCAAATAACCAAACAAGTTTTGTAATACAAAAATATCAAAAAATACTTTTTTAAAATTATTCTCAAAAATTATTTTCGAATATTATTTTTAGAGATGCAAACCAAACAGGCCCTAAGTTTTCATTTTACGTTATCTAAATATTCTCATTTCTGTTAGGAAGTACAAGGATGTTGCAACCTTTACAACCTCTAGGTTAGGATACAGGAACAAGTCTCTACCGATTAGTTTATATGATAGTTTTCATGGGGACTTAGGAACCCCAGCTAGAACACTTTAGAAATCAGTTTGTACAATTTTGAACAGTTTACTTGCACCATATAAAATGGGCATTAACAGGGAGAGTCGTTAACCATATAGATGGGTATTAGCACGGGATTATACAACTTGGATAGATGAGTCCTGCCTTTTTTCTGAATAGATCATGCAAAGTTGCCCAACCTATTTGATCCTTTACATGGAAATAAGGTTAAGAAACAATTTATCTGTATGTCAATAAAATCCAATGGATTTTTTTACCCATATACGTACATATTGTGCCCAGTTGAAGAATATTGGTGCCTACTAAATTATAGTGGAGTAATTAACAAGGACTAAAAGAACAATTTAAGGTGGAATGGTATATTGTCAAATCACTTGAAAGAAAGGTAACTATTGTTTTTCCAGTTATAGTATTTTGTTGTATGCTTAGAACTACTTTTGCTCCCCAAACAAATAGATTTTTGGCAGTAAGTTTCAATGATATGAGGAAAAATTAAACTCTTTTCCACATTTGTGTTATTCTGTGTTGCCAGGTGAAATGTGCTTAACCTACATGAATGTTTAGGTATGTTAGGAAAGGCACAAGTGTTTGAGAAACTTTGCCGTAATGAAGAATAATCACTAAGATAAAACAAGAGAAGAGGTGGAATCAGCCTCGTACAATGTTTTATCTTGTCTTTTCGCCTCTTTTTTTGTCTATTTTCTTTTCCCCTTTCCTTAAGGACGGGTTTCTCGTACAATGTCTTATCTACGTCGAGGTCCGTCCTTTTCTTAAGGATGGGCTCGACGTAGCTGTAAGGTTGTTTGACATGGGCGTCAAGGGTCCGAGTCACGAAAGCCTCTTTGCATTTATGTGTTAGATATTTTAGTATTTGGGATAGTTTAGTCATTTTCCAATATGGTTTTACCCTACGTCTTTTATTATTATGTTGTAAGCAAACTATTAGGCGTAATAGTATTCTCTCTTATCTTTTTTCTCTTTCTCTATTTTTGTATTATGTAATCAAAGTTTATATTGTATCAGAGCATGTTCCAATCGTTTAGCAACGCAATAGTGGTTGCCAAAAGAATTGCCAGAAGAAGTTAGAATTGTAGAAACCCAATGTCCGACACTGCATCATCTGAGAACGATGAGTCGTGATGATGTCAGCATCCCGAAGCAATGGCAGAGAAGTGAAAATCAGCTCAAGAGTCTTCAAATCCTTCAATCAAGCACCAACAATACTCAATTACATCATTTAGGAGAGTTGTATGAACAAATTCAACCAAACACACATCCACTCATAGGAATCATGTAGAATTCAATAAAACAAGGCAAATCTAACATGGTATCAGTGTGGGGCCTTGGATAGTCAGTGGTCTAAGTCTCCTATCCATTTGAATTTTCCAGTATGCATGATTGTTTGTTAGCCACTTATGAGTTGGGGTCCCACATCAAATAATTAGGAGTACTTCTATTCATCTGCATTTATTTCTATCTCAATAGAAAAGGTAGTTTGATTATCAAAGTAAGAATAAATATAGATCCTCTTCATCCTCCTCCTCTGTTGACAACTAAAAGATAGCCAGCAGATGCGCTTCCTTCCAAGATACTTAATACTTGTAGTCTTTGCAGATCACTAGGAGTAAGTCCTTGCAGATGCCTTTGCTGTAGGCATACACTGTATGCTTATAGAGGTTGTATCTCTTACAACTTAAAAGTCCTTGGCATCAATGAAGCTGATTTGGAAGCTACATTTCTTAGCTAACTATTTCAGAATAATATCTGTCTGATATGTGGAGAAGACCTCTCCCATAACATATTATTGTTTCTTGTGTAGTGTAGCATTTTCCTGATTTGCTCTAGTTTGCTTAGAATGTTGATGTGAGTCAACGTTTGCAAATCAAATTTGGTTTTCCTGCTGTGTTCTGATGAAGTGTGGCTTAATATTTTCTCTTTTCCAGCCAATCTTTCAAAGGTATCCACGGCCTGAAAAAGAGTACCAGTCTTTTTCGTTAATATACAATGACAGGTCACTGGATTTGGTAAGAGTTTAATATGTTTTGGCCATCGGCTTCCCTTAATTTTCTTGTATACATAATGTTCAAGGAATAGTCCCGAATCCTGATACTTTTCTTTCTCTTCCACTTAAGAGTAGTTTCCAGATTTTTTTGTTTGCTCATTTTCTTCAAAATCTGATGACATTATTTTTTTCTTTTGTTGCAGATCTGTAAAGATAAAGATGAAGCTGAGGTATGGTTTAGTGGTCTGAAGGCATTAATTTCACGTGGTCATCAGAGAAAATGGAGAACAGAATCGAGGAGTGATGGTATTTCATCTGACGCAAATAGTCCCAGAACATACACACAAAGAAGCTCTCCATTAAATTCTCCATTTGGTAGCACTGATAGCCTGCAGAAGGTATGGTTTCCTACTTCATGAGCACAAATGCATAGAGAGATATATATCTCCTTCATAAACATGTATGCACATATGCATGTGGGAATTTCATATATTTTCTCTAAAAATGTCAAATGTAATCTCATATTACTTGATTTAGGATGGTGGTGATCAGCTTCGTCTTCATAGTCCTTATGAAAGCCCCCCTAAAAATGGTTTTGACAACACATTGTCAGATGTGATATTTTATGCTGTGCCACCAAAGGGTTTCTTCCCATCAGATTCTGTTAGTGTTTCTGCCCACTCTTTATCATCAGGAGGTTCCGATGGCTTACATGGTCAAATGAAGGCAATGGGGATGGATGCTTTTAGAGTAAGCCTCTCAAGTGCTGTTAGCTCATCAAGTCAAGGTTCCGGTCATGATGATGGTGATGCCTTGGGTGATGTTTTCATTTGGGGGGAAGGCACTGGGGATGGGGTTGTGGGTGGTGGAGCTCATAGAGTTGGGAGTTGTCTCAGTGTCAAAATGGATTCTTTGTTGCCCAAAGCTTTAGAATCTACAATAGTACATGATGTTCAGAATATAGCTTGTGGTGGACGACATGCTGCCATAGTGACCAAGCAAGGAGTGATATTCTCCTGGGGTGAGGAATCGGGGGGCAGGCTTGGGCATGGTATAGATTCTGATGTTTTACATCCTAAACTTGTAGATGGACTCAGTAATACAAACATTGAGCTTGTAGCATGTGGTGAGTACCACACTTGTGCTGTAACACTTTCTGGCGATCTGTACACATGGGGTGATGGCCATTTTGGCCTGCTTGGGCATGGTAATGAAGTGAGTCGATGGATTCCGAAGAGAGTACTTGGGCCATTGGAAGGGATACATGTTTCATCTATCTCCTGTGGGACCTGGCATACTGCAGTAGTGACCTCTGCAGGGCAACTCTTTACTTTTGGTGATGGAACGTTTGGTGTTCTGGGTCATGGAGATCGCAGTAGTGCTTCAAAACCTAGGGAAGTGGAGTCCCTTAAGGGACTCCGCACTGTACGCGCAGCTTGTGGTGTATGGCACACTGCTGCAGTTGTAGAAGTCATGGTTGGAAATTCAAGTTCCAGTAATTGCTCATCAGGAAAACTGTTTACATGGGGGGATGGGGATAAAGGTCGACTCGGGCATGCTGAAAAGGAAGCAAAACTTGTGCCTACCTGTGTTGCTGCTCTTGTCGAGCCCAACTTTTGCCAGGTTGCTTGCGGACATAGCTTGACAGTTGCACTTACAACCTCAGGCCATGTCTATACAATGGGCAGTCCTGTTTATGGACAGTTGGGCAGCTCCCAAGCTGATGGGAAGCTCCCCTCTCGTGTGGAAGGAAAGCTTGCAAAGAGTTTTGTGGAAGAGATAGCTTGTGGTGCTTATCATGTTGCAGTTTTAACATCTAGAACTGAAGTTTACACGTGGGGCAAGGGAGCAAATGGTCGATTAGGTCATGGGGATACCGATGACAGAAATTCTCCATCTTTAGTAGAAGCTTTAAAAGAGAAGCAAGTCAAAAGTATTGCTTGCGGTACGAATTTTACTGTAGTTATTTGCCTTCATAAGTTGGTTTCAGGAATTGATCAGTCTATGTGCTCTGGCTGCCGTCTGCCATTTAATTTTAAAAGAAAACGCCACAACTGTTATAACTGTGGCCTTGTCTTTTGTCATTCATGCAGCAGCAAGAAGTGCCTGAGGGCTTCTATGGCTCCAAATCCCAATAAACCTTATCGTGTGTGTGATAACTGTTTTGGTAAACTAAAGAAGTCAAGTGATACTGACACTTCATCTCAGTCTTCAGTTAGTAGAAGAGGAATTACAAATCAGGGATTAAATGAGCAAATTGACAAAAACGGTAAGTTGGATTTCATATCTCGTCCTCATCTTGCCCAATTTTCTTCTATGAAATCCCTGAAACAAGTGGAGAGCTGTTCTTCCAAGAGGAATAAGAAGTTAGAATTCAACAGTAGCCGGGTATCACCTATTCCGAATGGAAGTTCTCAGTGGGGCGCTCTCAACACCTCAAAATCTTTTAATCCAGTGTTTGGATCATCCAAAAAAAATTTCTCGGCTTCCGTTCCTGGATCAAGAATGGTTTCTCGAGCAACATCACCAGTTTCAAGACGGCTCAGCCCAACTCGTTCCACTACACCAATCCCAACTCTGGGTGGACTTACCTCACCAAAATTTGTAGTGGATGATTCTAAAAGGACAAATGATAGCCTTAGCCAAGAAGTTATCAAGTTAAGAGCACAGGTATACAATATTGTTATGCCTGTAATCATCTACATGTGGTGCAGCGTTCTCTTGCATATTTTTTTTCTATTCTTTTTTCTTACGTTGGAGTTAAAGGTGGGAACTCATGGGTTCAAGTCACGTAAATAGCCTCTCCGCATGTAGAGTTAAGGTTGCTTTGAGATAGCATGAATACAGATACAGAATATAGATACGATATAATACAAATACAGTGATATGGCAAAACTTAAAAAATTAGAATACAAACATGTCTAAGATACACCTATAGTAAAGTATATTTTATATTTTTACTACTATCTAACAACTTTATAGTTATTATTTTTAATAAATTCTTTAGCATTAATACAAAAAGTTGATAACTTTTTACTTTCAAGAAAGTATTGATTGTTTTATTATGGTATATCTGTAAAGTGAATGTGACTAATTAAAGAAATAAGAACCAATATTTAACTTGTTTGTTTGCTTAGGAATTCTTATTGCAAAGAGATGTGGTATCATTAACATATTTTATACTTAATTGACATGTGATAGTAGATAATATTTAAGAGACACCATGTGTCTTCCAAGCCGTATAGATTTTTCTTGATGTGTTACATTATATTTGAATTCAAAGGAAAACGGAGAGATTAGAATGAATAAAAATTATATATATTGTTCCTGAATATGCATTTTGGATACGTATTAGTGGAGTATCCAAACTTTTTATTATTGTTGGATACTTATAGTGTGTATCCGATGGGTATTGTAGTTGATAAAAGATACGTCGACCTTTCGAAGTATCCGTGCTTCCATTGCTTATATATGACCTTCCTTAGACCTATCTTGCAGTGGTGGGAGCCTTGTGGACTAAGCTGCCCTTTTTCTTATGTTGATGTTCACCTAAAGAATGAAAACAGGGAATCACTAATAAGTGGTGAAGGTGATGGAGCATTGCTCCTAATGATTGACAGTTACAAGGGCTCCTTTCCTGGATTGCACCTTTTATACTAAAAATGCTTTTCCTTCCAGAAAATGACCCTAAATTTGGATATGAGAGGTTGATAATTATTTCCAAAACCACAAGATAAAATATTATATTCCTGTAGACCTCGTTAGCCTTGTCAATAAATTTACTGTAATTGGTCTCTAGACAAAACTGTGTCCTTTTCGAAACATAACAAAAGTTTTGCAATGGTGTTGAGGCTGCTGGCTTGTAGGTTATATCTGACCATTTTTTATTCAGGTTGAAAATCTTAGTCATAAAACCCAACTTCAAGAGGTTGAGCTGGATAGAAGTACTAAACAGCTAAAGGAGGCAATAGCAATTGCAGGGGAAGAGACAGCAAAATGCAAAGCAGCGAAAGAAGTGATCAAGTCACTTACTGCACAAGTAAGAAGAAAGTTATTTATATGGTTGTAAGCCTTGTATGTCATGACTGGATGAGTTATGGGGTTATCTGCATGTTTTGTGAAGTAAAATTAGTCCATTGTTTCCTAAACAGCATCAGAGATCAGCCAAGTCTGTTCTCCATGACATTTGAGAAGGGCACATCTCATTAACATGTTGGATCAATCTAAAACACCGAGGAACGAACCACCCTTTATGTTTTTGATTTCCATTTGTATGGCAATATTGATTTCTAAATAATAAATTTGTGCCTCAACAGCTGTGGAACAGAGGTGAAATCTCTGGAAGGGTCCAAATACCCTCTTTTTTAAGAAATTAATAGTCCTCATATTGTTTGTGTTATTTTATCTACTCGAAACCAATTGACTATGAGTGAAGGGGCCTCTCAACTATTATACCAACCTTGGTGGCCTATGCACAAGTTTTCTTATACTCCCGTTCACGTGGGACCCGTGCTCATGCATGCGCTATCAAACAAATTGACAAACACAAATACCAAAAAATTTAAATAGTTGAGAGATTTGGTCCAATAACCGCCTAAGAACCAACTTGGATACTGAATGTCCAACTCAAAACCTATTAGAAATAAGTGAAGAGGGTGGTGGCACAATTTGAACGCAAAGACTCCTGTCTTGATACTGTGTTAAACCACTAACTACGGTCNCCGCCTAAGAACCAACTTGGATACTGAATGTCCAACTCAAAACCTATTAGAAATAAGTGAAGAGGGTGGTGGCACGATTTGAATGCAAAGACTCCTGTCCTGATACTGTGTTAAACCACTAACTACGGCCCTGTTTGGTAACGTTTTCGTTTTTCGTTTTTCATTTTGTTTTTAATATTTAGAGAAAACAAGAAAAAAAAACTCGTTTGGTAACCGATTTTGTTTTTCGTTTTTGCCACCGTTTTGTAAACGAGTACCGATTTTCAAAAACAAAAAGAAGACGCTTTTGGTTTTCGGTTTTCGTTTTTGAAAAATGAATAACAAAAACGNCATTTTGTTTTTAATATTTAGAGAAAACAAGAAAAAAAAACTCGTTTGGTAACCGACTTTGTTTTTCGTTTTTGCCACCGTTTTGTAAACGAGTGCCGATTTTCAAAAACAAAAAGAAGACGCTTTTGGTTTTCGGTTTTCGTTTTTGAAAAATGAATAACAAAAACGTTACCAAACGGTGCCTACTCTAATAACTTAAGCTGTTGGAAAAGGTTTTAACATAAATATTTTATTTACTTCAACAATGCTTCATCTGGTTTACAGCGGTTCAATATTCAAACCTTGATTCATGTGTTAGTCTCACATTCTTCTTCTTCATATGGTGCATGTTGCATTCTACTTGGCGTGCCACTGGTTTTGCTTGGCATTTATTATGCTTATTTTCACCTTGCTTTTGTTGGCCTTTCTTGCTGATGAAACATTTTATTGTCTGTATGGGAAATAGCTGAAGGACATGGCTGAATGGCTGCCTGTTGGCACAGCTCTAAACTTCAAATTTCCTTCTTTCACTTCCTTTGCCGCTGATGTTACAAATGCTTCTATTGACTGCGTGAATGGTCAAATAGCACGCCAAGAACCAGATTCAAATGAACCAAACAGGCAGTTCCTTTCTAATGAGTCAAGCACTGCAAGTAACCACAGTTCAGGTTACAACAGACTAGCGCATTCGGATGCAACAACGAGAAGTGGGAGCAGAATGAAAGAAGGTGATTCTCAAAATGACAATGAATGGGTTGAGCAAGAAGAGCCCGGTGTTTATATCACACTCACCTCCTTACCTGGAGGTGTCAAAGACCTTAAGCGTGTTCGCTTCAGGTATGTTATATAGCTGGCTGAGTTCTTTTGGATGATTATCTTATGCTTTATAAATCATACCCTTTATGCTGCATAGGTATAATGGATTAACAATTGCCGTGGCTAGCATTTTTTGCCTTTTCTCGCTCCCTAGTGTTCACTTCAAGGCTGGTCCAGTCAATGGAGCAAGTCAAGTCATCTATGTGCATATCCATTATCCAAGCTATGAATTAGCGGTTAATACAAATTTATACTCAGCATGTATTAGTAATAACTACTTGAGGTGGTTGGGAAAATCTTCTTACGTGCCATCAAATTCAAGGCACTGGTATTCAAAATGCACATAAGTCATCCTTTGTTCATTTGAAAAAGCATCAAGTAAATTTTGATTAACCCAAGGATCATTTGATCTTAAGCAGTTGGGGAACCAATTATAGAAATAAGTAAAAATTGGAATTCTGGAGTTGGATCGTGCTTGAACCCTGAAACTCTGATTATGTAGTTGTCTGGTGTGTGCCTTAATTATTATCACCTAAAGAAGAGAGGAAAAGAAAGCACTATCTTGTTACTTTCCAAGTAATAGAAATTGTGATCTTCATTGTTGATTAAGTTAATTATGTTCATTAATGTTGGAATGCAGTCGGAAACGGTTTAGCGAGAAACAAGCAGAACAATGGTGGGCAGAGAATCGGGCTAGAGTATACGAGCAGTACAACGTGCGCATGATTGACAAGTCAAGTGCTGGTGTAGGAACCGAGGATTTGGCGCGTTGACATGGTGGGAGCATGTAATGCAAATGCTCAATTTTATCTGTACCTCTCTGCTTCAACACAGGAAGGTCATATTGATTTTAATCTTATTAACCGTTGGAAGTGAGGGCGGTGTCAGAGGAGAGAGAAGTATAGGTTTGCTTGTTTCTTTTTTTTTTTTTTTCTTTTACTTTTCCTTTAATTTTAGGACCTAATTTTCTTCTTTATTTTTTCCCCTAAATATGCCTTGTGTGGGGGGTTGAGGATGAGAAATGTAAATTCCTAGTTGGTTTGCTTGTCCCTATTGAAAGCAGTTGCCTTGTAAATTCTGTAAATGTATCTTCAGAACTCTCTTTCTCTCTCTCTCTCTCTAGTTGTCACAGTAAGTTATCATGCTAATGTTATTAATTCAACCCGTCACCGAAGTACCTTTTTGTTTTTTCTTTGGGGGTGGGGGGCACCAAAGTACTACTACCTTCTTTATTTTTTATTAGGTAACTTATACTTAAAGGCACAGTGTAATATAAGTGGGAAGAAATGAATTTGGTGGAAGAATGTAATGTGAATAATTTTGAAAGGGATGTTGGTGATTGTTGGATAAGTTTATTTGAAATTGTTGGATAGGTTTATTGAAGTTTGTCCAGTTTTACATGATAGATTTTGCTGATAAGCATATGTTTGATCTTATACCAAAGAAATGGAGTTTATATGCCTTCAAATTTCATTTAAAGAAATTATGGTATATGAAAATAACTGTGAATAGAATAGTAAAAAAAAAAACTACGTTTTTTTTAATAGGACATATGGCCCTTGATAAAGCACAATAGAGAAATAAGATTTATGTAGTTGATCTCAAGTAGTCGGGATTTAAGAGTTTGTTCTTCCAATGCTAAAAAATGAATTCCTAAAACTATAGTTCAAACAATCGTAAATGACATTTTTGCATGTAAATTTCACTGTTACCTTAGAATTAACGATTGATTCCATTTAATGGAAGGATGTCTTATTAATTCAACGATTACAACCAGGGTATTTAATAAGATTATTGAGAAATTAATGTCTCCCAAAAAAAAATATACTAGAGAAAGCTCATAGATGTGAGGCACCACAAATTAGGACTTCTGGGTTTGTATACCATATTCAGTGCTCACTGAGGAAGGGATAACTCATTTTGATATAGATAATAGATAGTGACTTAGGGTCAATATCTCTATTCATCACTTTATATTTGGTCAAATACAATTCAGTCGAGGTCAAGTTATTAATAAAAGAGTTGGGAAATATTAGGATTGAGGTTATCGTAAACTCAACTAATTGAATCATAATTTCGTTCAATTGAATCATAATTTTTTTAATTTGAGATAAGTTTATAGTATATATGTTTCATTTTTCGATACCATGTCCAAAAATGGCTTATTACTGTAATTCTTATTTTGAGTTATTTATAGTCATTAATCATAAAAATAATCTAATAAAGTAAAATAATTAAAAAAAAATTTAAAAATTGTACACGTGTCACTTTATAATTGGCTAAAAAAGGAGGTATGTCATCCAAAAGTAAATTTTGGATATTAAAGTCTAACTTAGGCTTGTCAATTTTAGTCGTCATCCACGAATTCGATAGGAAATTGACATGACGTAAGTTGGGTTTGAAATGAGTCTAATCGAATATGAGCCGTATGCCTGTGAATTATTAGACTCTTAAAATGAACATATATACACCCTATTACGCACCGACATGAATCTATTGAACACAATATATACAAGATACAAATCGACACAATATAAATTTGACTATATCAGAAATATAAATAAATTTTAATACGACATAATTTAAATTTGATATGAAGTAATATGACACTTTTATTTCATATAAAGTAATAACTATTGAAGCGAGATTTATTTTATTGACTTATAATTTTACTATTGGTGGGTGATATTATTACTGTTATTATATTAGAATATTTTTTTGGTGTATCTGTATCTGAACAGTCCCCTTCATGTGGAGGAAATGAGAGGAGAGGTAGTTGAGAACAATGAATGGTCAAGAAAGAATCTGACCCCACACAAACCTTTGTCTGATTGATAGATAAATAGATAGAAAATAATGAAAATGTTACCTAGTTTAAATAAAAGTTAAAAATTTAAATTTAAATATATATTATTTATTAGATGAGTGTGTAATGAATGAGTCTTATTAAAAAAATTAATAGAATTCACTCATTTAAGAAATAATATGTATTTGAGTTATAATTTTTTAAAATTTTATAGCTTCGGTCGTAGAATAATTCCAAGCATCTTACTTTTTCGTACCAAACAACCATTATTGACCCGCTATGCTCCAAAAGAGAGGAGGGGAGGGGGGTGGGTCTTGAATGCGTGTCATTTTTGTGGGCAACAAACTGCACTAAATGCCATTCCTTTTTTTTTTTTTCAGACACGAAAAAGAAGAAAAGTCTACGGTCCTGAATTATTTTTTATATATGGTAAAAATTATATATTTAAAAAAAAATTTATAATTGATCGAGATAAGTCCATGATCGATTACAGATACCCATAATCGACCATAAGCTTTCACTAATCAGTTGTAATTTCTCACTCGCGTTGTAACGGAACATTTAAAAGTTGTATTTTTTATAATCAATTAAGTCATTTATAAATTGTAACTTACATTTCAAAAAAATTATAACTTAGTCTTAAAAAACAATAATTTTGGATATCATACCGTAGACTTTCCCAAAAAAAAAAAAAATTATGAATACAAATGTTTTACGATCTTGATACAAGAACGATGTGAAATTAGCGATTTAGTAGATTTGAATAGTAAATAAATAAATCTTTTAAACATGTCAAATAAATTAATTAATACAAACCTTATTTCACATGTCACCAACTTATTATAGAAAGTTTTATATGACTTATATATAAGAAGGACACACATTTACACTATATTAAATAGCAAATAAATTAGGTGTGAGAGACTTGGGGAGTGGTTCCATCCATATTCTCTGAATTTTTAAAATTTTTATTTATTTTAATGCATTCAATCCAATTACATATTACTATGTGGCATAACTCTCACTCCACAAACTCATAACTCTTCATTTATAGTTATTAGAAAATTACTTTCTATCCTTCAATTATTTATTGTTATTGTCTAATTACTATACAACCTAAATAGTTGTGCAAGAGAAAGGAGAAGAGAGCGAAAGAGATAACAGAAGGTAACGAGATATAAATTTCGTGCACAGGACTGCTGCTAGTCTAATTCTACATGAATGTTAATGGGCTAGTTATGAACCAAATAAATTTTAATACGACCTAACTTTGAGACATCAAGAATTCAACACCATACGACATGACTCAATTGGCCACCCACCCACCACCACCTTAGGGCAACATTCGGTGGTGGTTGGGTCGAAGAGGTGTGGGTGTTGGTGTTGGGGAGATAGGTTTTCTATTAACACATTTTTTTAGTCAATTCACCGTTGACCAAGAGAGATAATCCCATCAAACAGAAACTCAAACAAACCAAAATAAAATTGCAAAACAAATAAAAGAAAAAGAGTAAAGGGTGGTCACGTAATTTACTCCACTTTCTTTTTATTTCGATTTACAAATGCAGAGAAAAGCGAAAATGACAGATGAAGAGAGGTGTTTTGTCCTGCCCCTCACCTCATGGCATGCTTATCCTTAATTCCTGACATTCATTCATTTATTGTTATACCCGCGCTCGTTCCGTGTGATGAACATAATTTATTACATATCTTATTATTGTACGTTTCTTCTCACTCTTGCGGATTTTTCTTTTTTTTTTTTTATATAATATGGGTAATTAAAGAATTATTACTGTCTATAAGGGATTAAAATTATTTTTTTTTTTTTAAAAAAATTTGAATGAGAGGTTGTTAATAGTGGTGTTAATTAAGATGAGTTATTCTGTCTTGGCTCAAATAAAATTGAGCTCGCCCTCGACTAGTGATCTAAACCAGTTGAATTTGAATAATTTATTAGGCTCGTTTAAAATAACGAACCTAAAAGTCTGAGTTTAAGTTCGTAAAACTGGACACTTTTATATTTAAAATGGTTGAGTTATTCGGACTCGACTCAGGTTCGGTTCGATCTCTGATTTGACTCTAGTTTAAAATGAACCAAATTTGAAATTTTTTTTAAACTTGTTTAAAAAAATAAGCTCGCCAAATTCAAGTTCAAACTAGCAAAACTCAGTTCGATTAACACTTATATTTATTAATTAGTATAAAAAAATAAGTAGATATATTGACCAAAAGTGGGAGTAATGACTTTTTAGTTTTTAGATCCCCTCTCTCAAAAATTGATTATACATATATATTATAGATAGACTAGCATCCATATGCACCATATTTAAAATTCGAATATTCAATACATTATGCTAATTCGATAAAAAAAGGTTGAACACAATAATAACTAATAAATATAAATATAAGATGTCACCTTTTTTACACTAATTGGTCGAACAAATTGCAATCTTCAAATTACATAGATAAAATTAGAGAAAAAGTTAAGGAAGACACTTTATTAGTATCAATCCGATATTGAAGTTTCATGTCACACCACTTATTTAGTATAAATCAATATTATATAATAGATTATGCTTAATGAATTATATTTAGTATAATATGAACACTCATCAGGGCCAACCCGAACCAAACGGAGACCCTAAGTGAATTTTTTGAATGAAATCTCATTAATTGTAATTATTATGATAATATTAAATATTTTTTAATTTTTTATTACAATGTTAAAATATATTTATTTAAGAATAATTATTTTGTTATTTGAGATGCTAACTTACTATTTAAATTTCTATATTCAAATTCTTTGGCATATAATTAGATTTATAAAATTCATTAAAGGACTAATAGTCAACAAAATAGTAAACGCATATATTTGAAGTTCAATACACATTCTAATAATGTTTATGATGTCATGACAATATAAATACACTATTAGTAAACTCAATTTAAATTTAAATAAATTCAACTAATCAAAAGAGCATCAAAATTTAAAAAGAAAAATTAAAATACATACTTTTCAAGTTTATCAAAATAGTTGAAAATAATTTACAAAAGAAACAATTACATAGTTTTGTTATACATGATATGTAACATAGTATTATGGTTAATATAGTGAATCTCATATTATTAAACTCGTAAAAATAAAACTTGATTTCATTGAACTTACGTCTATAGACAACATTTAGGGGCCAAACAAATAAAATTTAATTTAATTAAACATTGATTTAAAAATTTTATTTAGGGCCTTGAAAATAAATAGGGAAAATTTCAACGACACCCCCTCTAATTTATCACATCTTCAAGGACACACCCTCTAGTTTTTAAATTTTCAATGACACCCCTTCTAGTTTAATTTAAACATCATTGACACCCCTACCATTAAACTACTATTTTTAACAAAAAAAACTCATCTAAAATATCAAAAATGCCCCTACATAACCTCAAAGTAATTTTTTTACATAAAATTTTATAAAAAAAAATCATAAATAACAAT